GGACCAACTGACTTTCCACTCTTCATCCTCTTCAGGGCTTTTCTAACTTCATCCTTTCTAACCTGATCTACCTTCTTCCTAATAGTCTCTGGTTCCTCGTTTCTACTTTCCCTTTCATTTTCCTCATTCAACAATTCCTCAAAGTATTCCTTCCATCTTCTCAGCACACTTTCCTCACTTGTGATTACGTTCCCCTCTCTGTCCTTAACCCTTGTAAATTCCTTCAGGTCTAGGTGACTCCCGGGTAACCTAGACCCAATATGTCTTTGTGTCTGTGTGTGTGTGCATGAGTGTGCATGTGCATGTTCCTGTATTGCATGACTTGTGCCAAGTTTTCCTCATATTTATTAATACTCATATTCTGGGACAAGATGAAAATCATTGCAAGGACAAAATGTGTGTACAAAAATGTGAAGGACCGCACGAGGGTTAATCAACCTAACCTGCTGCACAGCCTTCTCTGTCTCGCCAATCTATACAACTCCTTTTCTCCTTCCTTTGTGTCCAAACTCTCGTACAACTCCTCATATGCCTTCCCTCTTCACCTCCCTTGTCATCTCTTTGTACTCCAGCCTGTTCTCTTCTGTTCTGTCACTGTCCCATCTCTTTCTCTGCACACTCTCCTGGACCTCATCATTCCACCACCAGGTCTCTTTGTCCTCTTTTCTCTGCCCAGAGGACATACCTAGCACCTTCCTACCCATCTCCCTAATCACTGAAGCTGTAGTCTCCCAATCATCTGGGAATTCCTCAACATGGCCCAGAACTGCCCTTACTTCCTTCCTGAAGTCTTTTCAACATTTCTCTTTCCTTCATTTCTACCACTTGATCTTCTGCTCGGTCTTCACTCTCTTCCTTTTTGTCACCTCCATCGTCATTTTGCACACTACCATCCGATGTTGTTTGGCTACACTCTCGCCTGCCACTACCTTACAGTCTCTAATCTCCCTCAGATTACCTCTTCTACATAGAATATAATCTATCTGAGTGGACCTGCCTCCACCCTTGTAAGTCACCCTGTGTTCCTCTTTCTTTTGGAAACAGGTGTTTACCACAGCCATTTCCATTCTCTTTGCGAAATCTACCACTGCCTGTCCTTCCAAGTTTCTCTGCATAACACCAAACCTGCCCATCAATTCCTCATCACCTCTGTTCCCTTCCCCTACATGACCATTAAAGTCTGCTCCAATCACCACTCTCTCTCCCCTGGGTATACTCTCTATCATCCAATCCAGCTCATTCCAGAACTTCTCCTTTTCTTCCAACTCACAGCCCACCTGTGGGGCATAACCGCTAACATTTATCATCACTCCTTCTATTTCTACCTTCACACACATCAACCTGTCTGACTCTCTTTTCACCTCTACCACATTTCTTACATATTCTTCCTTTTGGATCACCCCTACTCCATTTCTCTTCCCATCCGAACCATGATAAAACAGTTTGTAGCCTCCTCCAATGTTTCTAGCCTTGCTGCCCTTCCACCTGGTCTCCTGTACACATATTATGTCTAATCTTCTTCTCTCCATCATATCAGCTACGTTTCTCTGTACTTGTACCTACATTCAGAATTCCAAACTTCAGACCAACACTTCTATCCTTCCTCTTTTCTCTTTTTCTCCTAACCAAACACCCTCCTCTTCTTCTCTGTCTCTGACCAACAGTAGCCCAATTTCCATCAGTGCCCTGTAGGTCAACAGCACTGTTGGCGGTCGTTTTTGACCCGGGCCCCGACCGATCCGGTATGGGAAACGTTTTAATTTGCATTCTTTGATTTGGCAAAGGTTTTACACTGGATAGCCTTCCTGACGCAACCCTCACCATTTATCCGGGCTTGGGACCGGCACTATAAAACACTGATTTGTTTACCCTAGTGGCTGGTTTGTAGTGGAGCAAGGATTATGACCCTGTAAAGATGAAAGAAGTTGCAGGCAACAGGCGATCAAAAAGGAAGTGTTTTAGCACTGATGTGGCCCCAAGTTGTACAGCTTCAGTCTGCCTGTGTGTGTACAGTATGTGCGTTCTGGGATTGGAGCGAGCACAACAGGGCTCATGGTGACACCGAACACCATCGGTGCTGGACAACACTACGACTTTCACAAGCTGCTGCTTAATTGCAGTTTAAACTGCACCTTGTCCTGAGCAGCGCAGCACGTCACATCACACACATACGCACACACAGACACGCACATATTTTCACTCACAAAGCACTTGTAGTCTTTAGACAGTTAATCGGTTCTAACAGTTAGACTAAAAGCAAAACCGCATGGGGCTGGTTAAATGTTGATTTACACTCTGTTTAAATTACCAGTACCAGCCAATAGTAACTATGTGTGTGTGTACACACACAATTAGCCCAAATATAGGCACTAGGCACTTAACCTTACACAGTTTCCACACCTGGAAAATGATTTGGATGCAGAAAGAAAATGTGGATGCAACATTTTAGATTTCATTGCATACAATACACAGTATATGTCTGTGTTGTTTATAAAAAGATAAAAACAGACAACAAGCTGAACAGAACCAACTGTTGAGTAGATAAAAGAAGGGAAAGAAAAAGAGAGATGAAATTATTCTAAAAAGACATTCATGACCCTTGCCCTTGTCTGGAACCAGCAAATGTGATGGCAAAATAGATAAAAACATGTCAAAGATAAAGTCAGAAGTTTACGCACCACTTGTACATCTGAGGGCACTCTGGACAGAAAGTCTACCAGCTCGTTGTTATCGATGGTGTAGGGATCTCTCAGCTTTCTGGTGAATTTATTCACCCTTGGACAGATAAACAGTAGGATGGAGAGAAACGTCAACGACAGAGAGGTGGACAAGACACACATTCAGCTTTCATGTCATCACTGCTCCAAACTTTAATTTCAAAACTTAACTTAAGTTACAGTGATATTATTGTTTAGTCCAGTTATGAACTAAACAATAATATCACTGTAACTTAAGCCAAAAATAAAAAGTTAGTTTTGTTTCTTGTTTTTTTATGTTTGTTAATTAAGTTTCTTCACTGTCTATATGCAGGTACGTTAGTCAGTGATGTGCCTACTGAGTATGGTGACATAGAAAAGCCAGGTTAAAAACAAACAGAGGCAGTATGCAAATTTCTTCATTAAAACATGGAAACATTAATTTATTTATTGAGAAGAAGAACGTGTTCAGTGTTTTTACTTTTTTTCAATAGAAACACATGATTGATGCAAAAGCTTTGCTCACTTTCTGCTCAACTGGTTGTGTTGTCTATACAGTACAGAAAGTTACATTTCATTCCTTTTTTTAGCTTTAAAGCATTGTTCATATATTGTCTAACTAGTGACAGTATTAGTTCAAAGTTTTTAGTTTTTGTCTCTTGTGGATTGGAATAGCCTTCCTTTCAGTGCATATATTTTGGAATCCATACTAAAGCTGTATCAGCATCAGTATTGAAAGAACATAATAGAAACGTCCCATAGCATAAATTCTTCTTTTCTGTTGTTAACCGGTTGTTTTATAAAAAAAAAAAAAAAAATGCAGAAAACCATTATTACCTGTAATGCAGAGCTGACACCCATTTTTTAACACTTTTTTGTGAAGAATGTGCTCTAGTAAGGTGCGGGACTTTGTTAAAAAATTGTAACAGAAGTTTTGAGTTCATTTTTATAATAAAATACTTTAACCTCAATTTACTTATTTTATGAAGGCTCACCCCAGGCTAATACAATGTATCGTAGAGGGATGAAGTGGTATCCACTCCGAGAGCCACAATAGCCAGCCAGCTTAGAAAAGGCATAGTCCAGTTAAATGTGCTGTAAAAAAGAAAAAAAAAAACGACTATAAATACACAGAGGATACACTGCAAAATAACATGCAAAATAATAATTTAAGTTATTTGTTATTTTTTAGGACATTGATGCTGGATATACTAATCCTTGTCATCACACACACAAGAGACAGTAGAACATCCAAAGACCTGAAACCTCTGTGACTTCATCTTACTCTGCTCCCTGCAAACCAGCCTCCACCTAACCACAACACCCCCACTGAGAACTAGCCCACCTAGCCCTCTGCACCAGAACCCACTGTCTTCTATTTGCTCTCTGTCCCGCTCGGATCAGATAATGTGAAAAAGGAACCATAGAGCAGTGGGAGCGGCCACGTGGCATTTCCAGCAAAACCTCACAAGGCAAATAGATATACAGACGTGGACAAAATTGTTGGTACCCTTCTGTTAAAGAAGGGTAAGTTATTTTAGTGACTATTGTGGGTTTTTCTCCACAATAGTCACTAAAATAACTTGAAACTGAAAAAAGTAGTAAAAAATAAAAATTTACTGAAAATGAATTAATGAAAATCAGGTATTGCTTTTGAATTGTGGTTCCACAATCATTTTAAAAAACACAATAATGAAACTGGCCTGGACAAAAATGATGGTACCACTAGAACAGATTGAAAATGACTTAACCATAGGCACATGTTAAACTAGCATAACAGGTGTCTTCAAACTTGTAATCAGCCAGTCTGTCTATTTAAAGGGTGAAAAGTAGTCTCTGTGCTGTTTGGTATTGTGGTGAACATGGACCACAGAAAGCTAAGGAGAGAGTTGTCTCAGGAGATTAGAAAGAAAATTATAGACAAGCATGTTAAAGGTAAGGGCTATAAAACTATCTCCAAGCAGCTTGGTGTTCCTGTGATGACAGTTGCACATATTATTCAGAAGTTTAAGGTCCATGGGACTGTAGCCTACCTCCCTGGACGTGACCGCACAGAGGTGGGACCAAGTCATTGCTTTGCAAGTAAGTCTCAAGTCTTTGCACTCAAGTCCGAGTCAAGTCTCAAGTCAAAATAGGCAAAGTCCGAGTCGAGTCCAAGTCAAGACCGAAAACTGTCAAGTCAAGTACTGCCATTTCTGTTTCAAGTCCTTTTAAACAAAATAATAATATATATACACAGATCATGTATGCTTACAAAATATGTATTTATCAAAACATAAATAAACCACTCCTTTCAGGAATAAACATTTGAAAAAACAAGTGCAACTGTAATTATTTGAACAAGGTGTTAACATTGCATTTCAACTGCATATTGCATTTGAACTAGTTACACAGCAGCTTCTGTCCTGTCCTCTGTATCTCATCTCATATTGCCCGTGTGTGTGTGTGTGTACACATGTGAGAATGTGTGTACACGTGAAAAACATAAATATATGAACAACCTTGAACATGGTCTTTATGTCAGGGCCCTATAACGCATTGCATTTGCAAAAGACCAAATTGGCTAAAAGTTTGTCAGTCATTTGTGCACGATGGGACTTAGCTGTAGTGCTAAAGTAATCCCAACATCCTTCTTCTGCCTCTTATGGTATGCAACAAAGAACCCTTCTCCGTGGTCCTCTTGCTCTTCTTCATCAACCCGAGGCACAGGTTGCTCAGTCTCTGCAGCATCTTGCAGGATCAATTCTGAAAAAAACAATAGCAGACACTTAGAGTCCTTATTATCATTTGTGTTGGTGATGCAGTGTGTTAGACTGAAATACTTAAATATTGTTGCAGTCAATTAAATCAGATTGTGAGGGGAAAAGTTACATTAGACTTAGTAACATTTACCTTTCACTTGTTGTGCCACCTCTGCCTTGACATCATGCTTGACCAGCACATGGGGCTCCACCCACAACAGAGAAAAGGCTGGATCCAAGGCAGCTGCTTTGAGGTAGACGGGATTGGAAAATGGAGCATCAACCACATCTTGTGTCCTAGCCATTTTCACATTGATGAAGATTCCCAGAAATCTTTTGTTCAGGGATGCCTGGAGACTTCTGACCAGGCCACACAGGAAGCAGACTTGAGGCTTCAGCTTCTCAAGGTGGTGGTTGAGGGACAAGACAGAAGGAACAACAGCACTAATTGTGACCTTCTCCCCCTGTGTCAAATCAGTTGCTTCTCCAAATGGTTTCAGGATGTCCACTAACTCCTTCAACAGATTCCACTCCCGTGCTGTGAATGACAACTCCCTGTGCCCAGCCTTTTCTAGAACAGCACAGAGCTTTAGATGATTGCACTGGAGAACTGCCTTCACTTGCCGAAGTGTTGAGTTCAATCTTGTGTTGACTGCAGCAGGGATGCCTTTCTGTTCTCCAAATTCAGCATCAAACACATCTTTGAATGTTGTGCTTGTGTGCAGCAGTGAGCTGAGTTTTGATAACTTTGAAAGAGAAGGCAATACCACTTTTGTTTCTTTCAAGCCGTCTCCCACCACCAGCTGAAGAGTGTGTGCAAAACACTGCAGGCGCTGTTTCTTTGCCATAGCAACATCTACTGTTTCCTGATCTTCCAGGGTTAAGTCACACCAGAGCTCAGGGTCATCAAGATAATCTCCATCATCGTCATCCTCTTGTTCAATTGGGAAACATACAGTGAATGCTTTTCTCATATTAGCAGCATTGTCACTAATAATGTAGTCCAGTTTATCTTTAATGGTGTATTCGTCACATATTGACTCAAATTGGTCACAGATTCTTTCAGCTGTGTGTGAGCCTTTGAAGCGTTCACAGGCCAAGAGATTGGACCTTAGCTGTATCCTCTCTGCCTCTTTCTGAAACATGTTCAGTGTTGCTCAATTGAGTTTTTAGTTTTGAGCGTCTCTCTTCAGCGAGGTTCTCTGTTTTTGATGTCAGTGTTCTGCGACACACTGGGCTGTACTTGCTGAAAACTCTTGTTTTCCACGATAGACAGGGGCAAGTTGCAGTCAATAATCAGGTTGGACAGTATTGCATGGGTTATGGCTTTCTGCTGTGGATGACTCATTCTGTATTGCCGACACGATTGTCCAGGAATTGTGAAATTGAGGGCTGCTGAGGTTCATTTGGGATCCTTTTGGCCATCTGGTACTCTTCAAATCTGTAAACACATTAAATGGATATCAGAAAATCCCTTATAGCCACACATTCCTCTCTTCCTCATCCTCCTCGATCTGAGCGCCGCTTTTGACACCATCTCACACCCCATTCTCCTCAGTAGACTCGCTTCCATTGGTCTCTCTCACTCACCCCTCACCTGGTTCCGCTCTTACCTCACTGGCCGCACTCAATATGTCCAACTCAGATCCTTCACTCCAAAACCCTCCGCCGTCACCACAGGTGTGCCCCAGGGCTCTGTCCTGGGGCTTCTTCTTTTTATCATATACCTCCTCCCCCTTGGCCACATTCTACGCACATTCAACATCCATTTCCACTGCTACGCGGATGACACCCAGCTCTACCTCTCCTGTAAACCCAACTCCACACTCCCACCCCCCTCCCTCACCGCCTGCCTCTCTGAACTCAAATCCTGGTTCACTGCAAATTTTCTCAAATTAAATTGCAATAAAACTGAAATCCTCCTTCTTGGCACCAGAACTACTCTTTCT